TCCCCTGCATTGGCAGGCGGATTCTTAACCACTGCACCACCAGGGAAGTCCCATAATGGGAGATTTTATTTTATTTTATTTTATTTTATTTATTTATTTATTTTTGGCTGTGTTGGGTCTTAGTTGCTGGGCTTTCTCTAGTTGTGGCAAACGGGGGCTACTCTTCGTTGTGGTGTGCAGGCTTCTCACTGCGGTGGTTTCTCTTGTTGCGGAGCACGGGCTCTAGGCACGCAGGCTTCAGTAGTTGTAGCACGCGGCTTCAGTAGTTGTAGCACGCAGCTCAGTAGTTGTGTCTCGCAGGCTTAGTTGCTCCGTGGCATGTGGGATCTTCCTGGACCAGGGCTTGAACCGTGTCCCCTGCATTGGCAGGCACATTCTTAACCACTGCGCCACCATGGAAGTCCCATAATGGGAGATTTTAATACACTTCTCTTAATAATTTATAGAACAAACAAAAAAAACATGTATTACAAAACTGCAGAACACACACTCAAGAGCACATGAAACATCTGTCGAAATGGACCACACTCTGGTCCACAGCACAGGTCTCAACAAATTGCAAAGGATTAAAATCAGATAGAATAATCTAGTCGCATTGGAACTAGGCTAGAAATCAGTACCAAAAGGTAACTAGAAAATCCCCAAGTACAATGGATGTAAAAAATATGTTTCTAAAATCAGCCTTTCGTTCCCCCTCTGTTTCTAATCTTGACCCTTCTCCCTCCAACTTGGTGAAGAGTGACAGAGCTCTTTCTCACATTCCCACAGATTCCTATATTGTCCCAGCTCAAGCATTTACTGAACCCCCTTGCTATCCCCAGCAATTGGCCTGCCTCCCCTTAGGAAGCTCTGTGCTCGTGTACAGTCTGAAGCCAGGTCCCATCCTATGGGTCTGAGGCAAGCTGGGAGCACTTTGCAATCAAATTCTTTTTGTCTGTACTTCTGAAAAAGCAGCAGGCCCAAAGCTGGCACCAGGTGCTTTCCAGACACTGAAAAGTTGGGTCTTATGGGCAGGTAGAGAGGCAGTACTTGCTGCACATTGGTTGTTTCCCTGCTAGTCAGTGGGCAGATGGTGAGGGAGAAATGCTGGGCAATGGGCCTTGAAGCATCATGCCAGAGACCAAAGGAGGAGCAGGGCCTGGGAAACAAAGTCTAGCTCTTGCTGCTGCCTGCCCTTTCCACACTGCCAGCCTCAGCCTCTTTTGTTATCTACAGGGTTGGGGTGAATGAGGGTTTCTGCCACTTCCTTGAACTTCAGGTTCGTTTCTGGCACTAACAAGGACACCCCTAGGACCAAAGGGCAGACTTCTAGGAGCACTGGACAGCATGGTATAGTGGGAATTTGGAGTCGCAATGACTTTGCTGTGTGATCTTAAACAAGTTATCTAATCTCTCTGAACCAGATAAAGTCTTTTGAATGCAAGTAATTGAGGGAACTCCTAGAACTGATAGAAAAAGGAGGACCAAGCTCAGAACCAGGAGAAGGGTGGAATCCAGGGCAGCTCAGGAGGTCTAGGAAGCAGGAGCTGCTGGATGGTCTCTTTCTGGGGCTCTGTTGCCAGAATGGATCAGCTCCAAGTCTCTGCCTTCTCTGGCTCACTTCCCTCTGCAGCCAAAGTCCTAGGAGAAGCGTCTGGTCCAGTGTAAGTCACATGCCCACCTCTTGGCTAGAGGAAGGCAGGGAGCCTTGGCTGACAGACCCACCAGAGCTACTATGAGGAACAAAGGGATTCCTCCAGAAGAAGCTGGGATGCTGTCACCAAAGGAAAGGCGAGAACAATCAATGAATGTCCATTACACTTTTGTGCCTCAGGTTTTTCCTCTATAAAATGGGAGTTATAATATCTATCTTGCAAGACTGTTATGAGAATGAGTTAATGTAATGTAGGTCATATGACTGGCAGGTACAGGGGAAGGTGATTGATAGAAGATAGATGATGTTATTAATGTCAATACCTACAGCAAGAAAGTGGTGCTGGGGAAAAAAAAAAAAAAAGACCCTGGATTTGGAATTAGAAGACCTAGGTTTGAGTCTGGCTCTGTCACTTTCAAGCTTTGAGGCCTTAAGCAAATCACGTAACTTTCTCTGACACTTAGTTTTTCCTTCTACAGAATGGGGATAATAACAATACTGATCTCATAGGTGTTGTGAGGTTGAAACATGTGGAAGCACATACGGGATTCATGATTTCCAGCATCTACAAGTCTGTACAAGGCTCCTTTGTGCCTGCGGCTAGACTTTTGTACAGACCCACCTCGTTTTATTGCACTTTACTTACTGCATTTTGTAAACATTGTATTTTTTACAAATTGAAGGTTTGTGGCAACTCTGTGTTGTCAGATAATAGTTAGCATTTTTTAGTAATAAAGTATTAATTAAGGACTGTACATTGTATCTTTAGACACAGTGCTATTGCACACTTAATAGACTACTGTATGGTGTAAGCATAACTTTTATATGCATTGGGAAACCCAAAAATTCGTGTGACTTGCTTTATTGTGATATGTGCTTTATTGCAGTGGTCTTGAACCAAACCTGCAATATCTCTGAGGTCTGCCAGTGCTGAATTCCACTGGCAGGGGTTGGGGGTTAGGAGTTGAGAATGAATGGGGGAGGACCTTGTTTGCCTTGTTTACTGCTCTATCCCCTGGGCCTAGAATATTCTACACATAGGTACTCCTATGTTAAATGAATAGATGAAAGACAACCTTGACATTCAAGGAAGGCCTTAAGGAAGGCCTTAACTCCAAGGCCATCAGAGTGACTCTGATGGAAATTGCAAGGTCCTGTGACAGATGAGGATGGAGAACTATTTGTCCTTTAAGTACTTCTCAAATCACATGAAGTCTGCTCAGCTCTGCAAAATAGGATCAACTTTAAGCATTGACATCGCAGGCAATGACTATGAATCAAGATTTAGAGGAAACAGATGCCTGAAGATGATCATGGTCCAAATTCCTTAGACTGCCACCTGAAGCTCTTTACCCCCTGGCTCTTGCCACATTTTTTTCCTGCAACTTGCTCCATCCTGCTCTGATCTCTAGCCATCTCAGTGACATGCGGTTCCTGACTGCTTTACTCCACCCCCAACCCTTCAACGCCGCTGAGTCTCTTTGGCTAACTCCTGGGCTTTTAGCTTTCAGCTTAAATGCCACTCCCTCCAGGAAGTCTTCCTTGATCCACAATCGTAAGACTGGACTAACTGCCCCTCCTCACGCTCCCACAGCACCCCGTACTCACCCTCATGGTGGTTCTCACCACTCTGTATTGTAACCTCCTGTTTATTTTTCATTCTTGATATGCTTAGACTTGAGCTCCATGAGGGCGAGTCTTGGTCCTTCTTATGTCCTCGGTGCCTAACTCAGGGCCTGGCCCCTAGTAGAAACTCAGTGAATATTTGTTGAGGAAAAGAGTAAATGAATATGATGTTAAAATCAGGATTTGTAGGAATTCCCTGGTTGTCCAGGGGTTAGGACTCTGAGCTTCCACTGCAGGGGGCAGGGGTTCGATCCCTTGTCGGGGAACTAAGATCCTGCATGCTGTGCGGCAGCCAAAAAAAAAAATTAGGATTTGTGAAAGAGTCTGGAAGTGCGGTAGCTTAAGTGTTTCAGAGGTCATTGTCTCTGTAAGATGCTCCCCTCCATGATGTTTTCCTTAAGCCATTTTTCATAATTGTCAGATGATAATTATAGAAAAAATAATTATAGGCTGCCTCTAGCTCCATGCTGCCAGGATTCTCCTGGTTCTCAGCCCTCCCTTTAACATGGCTGTCAGCCTACTCTGTAATTCCCACCACACCCTCTCCTCTCTCTCTGATTGACTGCACTTACCCTTTTGTTCATATATAATAGAAGTATTTAACTTTTTAATTTAATGTGTGCATTTAATATATACCGTAAACAGCTGACTCAGTCAGGTAGCCAGTTCCTAGAGGGCAGGTGTATCATGCCTTTGTGCAGAGCTTCTCGCATTGCTGTGAGAAAGTGGGTGTGTCCCAGAGGAGATAATGCTTGCAGTTGCTTTGTGCTCAGTAGGACCATAAACACAAGCTGCAACCAATAGAAAAGTCTGAGAGTATTTCATTCCCTACCCAAAATCTACCTCACTGCATTATTCAGCTGGCTTTCTCCCTGGAACACAGCCATCCCAGGGCCATGCTAGACCACAACGCACTGGTGGACTTTCAGCCAAGGGGTTGGAACTGTTAAGACTGAGGGACCTCTTGGATGTGATTTGCGAAGGGATTCAAAGGATGGCCAAGTGAGAGATCTTCCAGACTTTTTTCTGTGTCACAAAGATAGTAGCATGTAGAAACACCTTTTGTTTTCCTAACTCAATCACGACTGATACACCATCTGTAGGCGCCTTCCTTATTGGTTGACATGTTTATTCTCTGTCTCCCCCACCCCCCGGCAGGATGTAAGCTCCAGGGGGGCAGGGACTTTGCTTTATTTACCACTTCATCCTCTACACTCAGAACAGTGCCTGGCACATACCAGGCACTCAGTAAATGCTTCTTGAATGAGTGAGTGGGCTCAGGTAGTAAAACAGTAGGAGACTCCCAGAATCCAGGGAACAGGTGGGAGCTGCTGTGGGGGAAGTGTTGACTGTATGGGCACAAAGATGAGAATGAGGGCTGAAGTTTATTGGTACTAGGGAAGTAGCCATTGCAATGACAAAGTGACAGTGAGCTGCTCAGCCAGTCTTCTTCTTTTCTGGACATCTGGGGATCAGTAAATCATGGCCAAGTCCAACAATTCTGGACTGCGTGGCCAATCTCACAATTCTGGGCGGGACACCATGGAATTCCTGGGCCCTTAACAGAGTCCTGGGGAGCTGTGCAAATGGCCCAGGGGACTATCCATTGCCAGCATCTCTCTGCTGCTCACGTCGGAGCCCAGAGAAGCCTCTGTTTGGGTGGGGAATGGCACAGCTTGCGTTTGAACCTGCTCTTTCCCTGAAGCTTAACATCTACGTGTCCACCTCATTGTCCCAGAATTTATAACCCAAAGTCTACATAGACGTTCCTGTAACCCTTGATGTCTTTAAACTTGTTGCTGCTCAGATTTGCTTGGATCTGCCTTTGGCCACTCTTGAAGGGGACAGTCTCCAGAGTGAGGCTGGCTCTGTGATGGGGTTCGAGGACTCCAATGCTGCAGCAGAGAAAGGAGAATGTCAGAAAACCATAGGATTATGATAACCCCACAGTCCCATTCCACACAGCAACCAGGCCTCCCCTTTCCCTGTGTCCAGAAAGGACAGTGCTACCCCCAGGATAAGATGGGAGGGAGGGCGGAGCACTCACAGCACTCTCTGCCGTCTCCTAAAGAGACCACTTCCTTCCACAGTCAGTACACAATCTTCAACCGGCTCCGAGAGAGGGTTTGAAAATATCACCTGTATGAAGAGTGGCCGGTTCACAATGGCTGCTCCTAAAGCCTGAACAGGGAGATCCAGAGAGGAGGGAGCAGAGAATTAGTCTCATCCCCCGGTTCACCAGGCATTTATGGAGGGCACTGTTCCCTAGATCTGTTCCTGAAGAGCTGGATTTCCGTGGCCTGTGTTTTTCCAACTATGGACAACTTAATGGGTTGTCATTAACATTTAAAAAAATGAAATAGAAGAGAATATCAGTGTACATCACAAAAGATATTGTTACATGAAACTTTTACTTCACTTATACATGTATGGATGTTTGTGTAAAATATTTCTACTCAGCCCAGCATATGGAAAGGTCTGATGAGTTGGGAGTCTCCAGTAATATTTCCTCTGCTCCAAGGATTTCATCCAAGTGTGAAATAAGCAAGAGCTCCCAAAGGATTCTCATGCATAATTTGAGTGGATAGAATATTTTTTGGCAATTTTTGCTGGTTTCTTCTTTTTGCAATCTGACTCCATCCCTTCCTACCCTCTTATCTTAACTGGCTTGATTTCTTTTTTTTTTTTTTTTCAGTACGTGGGCCTCTCACTGTTGTGGCCTCTCCCGTTGCGGAGCACAGACTCCGGACGCGCAGGCTTAGCGGCCATGGCTCACGGGCCCAGCCGCTCCACGGCATGTGGGATCTTCCCGGACCGGGGCACGAACCCACGTCCCCTGTATCGGCAGGCAGACTCTCAACCACTGCGCCACCAGGGAAGCCCAGACTGGCTTGATTTCTTTTCACACCAGTGCATGAGTCAAGAGCAAAGGATCATTTGGGGCATAGAGAGAAGGAAGTAGCCTCAGGAAACTTGAAGGCACCTTTGGAAACCCTCCCTAAAACAGACTCCAGTGGCTGGGCTTGCCAGACACACCCCACCAGGGGGCATCCCAGGCTCACTCAGCAGGGTCCAGGGGGCTACTTGGCACTGGGGAGACAGCACTGGCAGGAAGGGCCCTGTGAAGCCTCCCCAGCAGAATGTCAGAGAAGGAGGGGTCCTTGGAGGCCATCTGGTCTAATCCCATCATTGACAGTTCAAGATGCAGAAGCCCAGGGGCTTGTCCAAGGATGCACAGCCAGGAAATGGCAAGTCAAACCTAAGCTGACCTTTGTTCGCGCAGTGCTTTTCCCCCTCTCAGGACCCTCCCATTTGAGCCCGTGTTTCCTCATGTTGACCCTGGGGAAGGCCTCTCATGGTGTAAGAGGATGGAGACCGAGTGTGTTCAGATAAACCTCCCGCTCCTGGTGGGAGGTTCCTGGAGGCCACAGAAGAGGCAGGGGACAGGAGGGGCTGCTCTCCTGAGCAAGCTCTCAGGGGGCTCCCCCACCGCCCCCGGCCCAAGCTGGACCCAAGGAGCCCTCAGGTCACACGCAGGGCTCTTGCCTACATTAATCATGATGCCGGGACAGGCTAAGGCGATGATCTTGTTCACCACGGTCTTCTCGGGACTGCTCTTCTCTTCACCCAGGGCACTGATGCGGATCAGCTTGTCTGTGGACAGGTACTGGCCATACTGGGAATAGGGGATTTTGCAGGGATAGGTCTTTGCTAGGGAGAGAACACAGGATGAGGTGAGACTCGCTGGGGAAATCAGCTGGGCCTGGGTGGATCTGGGGACCCTTCTACAGAGAGGAGGGGGCCAACCTGTACTGATCCCCAGTAAAGTAGGTACTCGGTTTTCAGATGGAGGGGCTGAGAGGTGAAATGGCTTGTTTAGGGTCATTCTGCTGGTAAATGGGTGCACTGAGGCTGTAACCAAGGTCTGGATGACTTCAAAGCTCAGGCTTTCCCCACTAACCCAGGCTATATTCCTTGAAGTAGTAAAGAAAGGATTGGAGGAGAAGAAGGAGGAGGACAAAGGAAAGAAACAGAAGGAGGAGAGGAGAAGGGAGGGAGAGGGAAGGAAGGAAGGGAAGGAGGAAGACTCTGTGCTGGAGGGGACACTAGGAAGACCAGTGTCACAGGGGTCTGCCCCCAAACCCTTGTTGGCTGGCTTGACCCCACTGGCATTTCCATAAGCCACTGTGTTCACAGACTGTCCCCATGCCCATACCCAGAGCCCATACCTTCTTCAGGAGAGAGTGTGATGAAGGCTGTGTCCTGCCAGAATGGGGGCAGGGGGCTGCCATCATGCAGCAGAGACTGGGCACTCAGGTTCACTTTGAGGTCCTTGAACTGGGGCGCCGTGTTGAGGGCCAGCAGGACAAACCTTATGTCCCGGCCCATGTCGGGTGGGTCGAGCAGCTGGAATTTCAGGGAGACCTGGACAACATCACTGGGCCGAAGGGAAGGCGTAGCAAGGCTCCTAGGACTGTCCCTTGGCAGCATGGACCTGGAAGTTTGTTTGGAGGGAGCCTTGGGACCTTCCAGGCTTCAGCTTCTGAAGAGCCTTCAGAATCACCTGCCTCTCCTGGAGGGAACCTGGGAGGACAGAGCACAGAACCAGCTGTGGGCCAGACTGACCCAGAGGGTAAACCTTGGCTGAACACCCTCCGTGAAGGCTCCACCAGGGTGTTAAAACCTTCATTTCCAATAACAAAGGCTCCTTACTAGTCATCAAGTCTTTCCAGGAGTCACACTCTGCTGAGCTCTTACACCTTTCATCTTCATATCAACTGTGAGAGAAATGTATTACTATTATTATTATCATTCCATATACAGATGAGGAAAATGGGGCTCAGAGAGGTCATGTCACTCGCCCAAGTCACACAGCTTGCACAGGGCAGAGTCAAGTGGAAACCAAATTCATCTGACGTGAAAATCTGTGCTCACGACCACTGGACTCTATCCCGTGTTCCCCAAGGGAAAGATGAAGGCTCACAATGCAGAGGAATAAACCTTAAAGACAACAGGACATGGTGTGATTTTCTGCTCCAGGACCAAATTATGGGTCAGTTGAAGACTAATTCCTGGAAATTGAGAAACTGAGAAGCTACGGTAAAAAAAAAAAAAAAAAAGGAAATTAAGGAAGCCGAGTTTCCAGAGTACCCAGGCTTCAGTCCTGGGCAGGCGCTGTGGCCAGGATGTGCGGCAGGCGCTGTGGCCAGGATGTGCAGGAACACTCATCCGTGCTTCCCTAATAATCCCAGCAGCTGCCTTCACTGAGCACTTACTGGTCCCCTCAGTGCAACCCCACAATCTCCCCAGGCTGAGGCCACTCTTCTCCCCTCGCTCTGGGGTCATTCTAAGCCTGGATCCAGGCAGAAGAGGATCTTGCAACATTGGCTTCAGTAAGAGTGAGCCCAGAGAGGTGTGAATCAGACTTAGCTCATCTGTGGGCTGCTCGACCCCCAGATTCTGCCAGTCCAGTGGGAGGAGACAGAATGCTATCTGACTGAACAGGACACTCAGGCCCACTGGAAAATAGCTCCAACCACCCCCTGGCCCCCCGGCCCAAGTTCACAGCAGAACCCTGTGGACCGCTGTAGCACATGCTGTCAGTGCCCCACTCACATCTCCTTGGCACTTGCTGTGTCAGTGCCCACGTGCCCTAATTTCAAATTCTAGCACCTGCGGCTCTTTGTGGCTTTCTCTGCCACCAGAGCTGACTCCGCCCATGCGTGGAGCAGGCCAGGAGTGCTAGGGAAGTTACGCCCCCTAAGGAGCAGCCCTCAACCCCTGACTGAAAGGAGTTGGTGGATGAAGAGCCTAGGCCCCTTGCCTCGTGGGTGGGATGAATCTGCGGTGTTGTTCTACACTTTACACTAAATCTCTGATAGGGTTGCCAGATCTAGCAAATAAAAATACAGGGCAGTTTCATTTGGATTTCAGATTAACAACAACTAATTAGGGCCATGGTTAGACAACAGCATTCTTCGTCCTGCATTTTCCCAGGTCACCCCACTGGCAGGGCCCCCAGCAGGACTGAGTCCCAGCAGCTCACGGTGCTAACCCCGCCTGACAAGGTGCTCTGCATTGGCTTTCTCCCCTTCCCTGCCTCCCTCTCCTTCCTTCCAGTATTTCTTTTTTTTTTTTACATCTTTATTGGAGTATAATTGCTTTACAATGGTGTGTTAGTTTCTGCTTTATAACAGAGTGAATCAGTTATACATATATATGTGTTCCCATGTTTCTTCCCGCTTGTGTCTCCCTCCCTTCCACCCTCCCTATCCCACCCCTCCAGGCGGTCACAAACCACCGAGCTTGTCTCCCTGTGCTATGCATCTGCTTCCCACTAGCTATGTACCTTACGTTTGGTAGTGTATATATGTCCATGCCTCTCTCTCACTTTGTCACAGCTTACCTTTCCCCCTCCCCATATCCTCAAGTCCATTCTCTGGTAGGTCTGTGTCTTTATTCCTGTCTTACCCCTAGGTTCTTCATGACATTTTTTTTCCTTAAATTCCATATATATGTGTTAGCATACGGCATTTGTCTTTCTCTTTCTGACTTACTTCCCTCTGTATGACAGACTCTAGGTCTATGCACCTCATTACAAATAGCTCAATTTCGTTTCTTTTTATGGCTGAGTAATATTCCATTGTATATATGTGCCACATCTTCTTTATCCATTCATCCGATGATGGACACTTAGGTTGCTTCCATGTCCTGGCTATTGTAAATAGAGCTGCAATGAACATTGTGGTACATGACTCTTTTTGAATTATGGTTTTCTCAGGGTATATGCCCAGTAGTGGGATTGCTGGGTCGTATGGTAGTTCTATTTGTAGTTTTTTAAGGAACCTCCATACTTTTCTCCATAGTGGCTGTACCAATTCACATTCCCACCAGCAGTGCAAGAGTGTTCCCTTTTCTCCACACCCTCTCCAGCATTTATTGTTTCTAGATTTTTTGATGATGGTCATTCTGACTGGTGTGAGATGATATCTCATTGTAGTTTTGATTTGCATTTCTCCAATGATTAGTGATGTTGAGCATTCTTTCATGTGTTTGTTGGCAGTCTGTATATCTTCTTTGGAGAAATGTCTGTTTAGGGCTTCTGCCCATTTTTGGATTGGGTTGTTTGTTTTTTTGTTATTGAGCTGCATGAGCTGCTTATAAATTTTGGAGATTAATCCTTTGTCAGTTGCTTCATTTGCAAATATCTTCTCCCATTCTGAGGGTTGTCTTTTGGTCTTGTTTATGGTTTCCTTTGCTGTGCAAAAGCTTTAAATTTCATTAGGTCCCATTTGTTTATTTTTGTTTTTATTTCCGATTCTCTAGGAGGTGGGTCAAAAAGGATCTTGCTGTGATTTATGTCATAGAGTGTTCTGCCTATGTTTTCCTCTAAGAGTTTGATGGTGTCTGGCCTTACATTTAGGTCTTTAATCCATTTTGAGCTTATTTTTGTGTATGGTGTTAGGGAGTGATCTAATCTCTTACTTTTACATGTACCTGTCCAGTAGTTCTTGAATCTCCTCAGTGATAAACCACTTGTCCTCAGGATCCCCCACCAAAATAGCCACAGAGAGAACGGGGGTGGAGGGGATGATCGCCAGTACCCTTGGATGTGTTCAGTGCTTGTCTCTCAGGCTCAGACTCTGGAGCTCCCCTGTGTTGGCCCCAAAGGCCGACACGGACAAACCACAGACACCCACTTGCTGGCGCTCCCAGGAACCTCAGGTACCCCTGCCCCCACCCTGTGTAGTCATGAATCACTCCTGCTCGGGTCCTGCCCCTCACCCTGCTTCTGGCCCTCTTGGACTGCATATTTTTGCTTGGCTCCCTGGTGGTTGAAACTGGTGGTTTATCTCAGTTTCCAGGAATCAGTCCAGCTGACTGACGTAGATGCCCCTTGCTCTTGCTGGCTTGGGTCAGAAGACCCTGCTAGGGCTCCCATCTCTCAGAATCATCCTCATAGGGTGGACGTAGGAGTGAACATTTGGCCTTACATGGGCCTCGGTGCTGGCTGTGGTCTGGCCTGTCCTCCAAACACCCAATGGAACATGAATCAAACAATAAGCTAAATGAAATTAATAAAATTAATAGGAGAGAGTTTACTCAGTCCCCTGCCATCTTCAGTGGGAGGCTGATTTTTCGGGAAGGCAGGCGCAAGGAATTCATACACTGTTGATGGGATGCCTGTCAGTGGCCCTGCAATCAATGTGACCATCTTGTGGAGGGTGCTCAGTGGCCTGTGGGGAGTGGGGTGGTGGTGGGCATGAGGAAGTGAGGCAGTGGGGACACCCCAACTGGGACCTTAAAACTGAAGGGATGGGCTTCCCTGGTGGCGCAGTGGTTGGGAGTCCGCCTGCCGATGCAGGGGACACGGGTTCATGCCCCGGTCCGGGAAGATCCCACATGCCGCGGAGTGGCTGGGCCCATGAGCCATGGCTGCTAAGCCTGCATGTCCGGAGCCTGTGCTCCGCAATGGGAGAGGCCACAACAGTGAGAGGCCTGCGTACCGCCAAAAAAAAAAAAAACAAAAAACAAAAAACTGTAGGGCTGAGGAGACAGTGGGCCTGGGTCCTGCCCATCCACACCCCAGAGGGCTGCCCCAGCTGGCAGAGAGGTTCTCTGGGGTAGTGGGGAAGGTGCCTACAGGGATTGGTCGTACCTTCTCCGTACTTGCAGTTTTCCGTGACGTCATCCCGCTCATCACTCTGGATCCTCTTGGTGCTGATAAAATTGCCAACAGAATTGGTGTCCAGGTGAAGTTTCTGCTCCTTCCCTCCAAAGACCAGCCAGGCCATGCAGTCAGCATTTACCATGGAGAAGGCGAAGGCTGTGTCCTATTTCAGATCCACCTCTCCTTCTTTGATGGCTCTGATGGAGGCAGGGCCGTAGCAGTAGAGGCCTAAAGGGGAACAGGGGTGCCTCAGTGGGCTGTGGCGGCAGGGCCGGGTGGAGTCGGGTCTGTTTCTGTGGGAGTGGGCTCTGCCTGTCCTCCCAAGAGCCTCACTGTTGCTCATCTCCTGAGGTGTGGCGTCCAGCACCTGCCAGCCTCCGTATCCGGGAGGGAGGTCATTCCGGGCCATCCAGCACTCATTCCAGACGTGGAAATTCCTGAGGGAGAAGCCAGAGGAGTGGGTGTCAGATGAAGCTGAGGGAGAGTTTAGGATGCTCAAGTTCTTTCTGGAGCAAGGCAGGGGGCGATGTGTGATGGACGGCTAGATAGAAAGACAGGGCACCACAGGCCTGCACCCCTCCGTGGGTGACAGGTGACCGCTTTTCCTCCTGTGAGCCTCAACTTGCCTGGAAAAGAGCTTTCCTCTCTTTGTAAATAAGAGTGAAGGTTTCCAGAGGCAACGGAAGTTAAAAACCCTTCACTCTCTCTCAAAGAGACCCTTGAAGCCCTTTCCTGTATGTGCTGCTGACTCACAGAAGCAGTCACAGAGGCAGAGGTTTTTTTGTGTCCAGAGGTGAGACTTCAGGCCCTCCTGTGGTCAGAGCCACAGGCTGAGTATTAAATGAAGGAGGTGACAAAGGGGAAAACTCCCCCAGGGCAGAGAGCTCTTGTGATGTGACAATTCTAGACTCAGAAAATCATCGTATTTGTGTTCAGCTGCCTCCCAGCCTTCGGGCTGGGGCTAGCAAGCCCTGGGGCTGGTGAAAATGGGGGTGAGGCATGAGAGGGCAGCAGGCTCATAGGTACAGTCCTGGCCTGCTTCCTGCTGGTAGGGTTTGCCCTAGAAAGAGAAGGTGTCTCTCACCAGACACTGTCCTTCTTCTTACTCTCCAAAGTCCTGCCTGTGTTGTCATAATACTCATCTACGATCAGGTTTCCGTCTGTGTCGTGGCCAGAGTCAAAGTTGGTGATTACTTGGGTGGGGATCCGCAGGCACCTCATCACTGTAGAAAGGACAGAAAAATCTCCTGTGGGCTGTGGATTCCTGGACTTAGCTCCCTTAGGCTCAGGGAAATCATGCACTTGGCAGGCAGGAGCTGTCTGGGGCACTGGGTTGGCGACACTTCCAACTTCCCTCCCCACCTTCCTGAGCTCCTCTCCCTGGGACTCCACACAAAGGTTAGGCAGCTGGTTGCTCAGACAAGCACTGCCAGGGCCAATAGAGGGTCTAGCAAGTGTTGGTTTCCCCTGCCCCAGCCAGCAGGGTGGGAGAGGCATGCCTCCTTTGGCAAGACTCAGCAGCTTGACTTGCCTTGACAAGCATCCTTGATGATCCTTGCCTGAATTAATTATTATACTGGTGGTACCAAAATGATTATATTCTAACACTATCATTTCTTCTACCTGTATTAGCTGGCATTCTTCTATAAAGAAAAGCATTTCAATCCCCCTCTCCCATTTTTTGGTATTGTTATGGGTTCACATATTTTTTTTTTTCACTTCAGCAGAGGTTATTTTTAGACATTTGCTTGGTTTCTAATTTTTCCCCTGTTGTAAATAATACTGTGATGGACATCTCTGTAGATCAATTCTACTTTTCCCCCTTTGGGACAGATTCCAAGAGGTAAAATGACTGAGTCAAAAAATACAGATATTTCTAAGGGTTCTTCACAAATACTACTGTCATTTTAAAATGTTTATAATTTTTAGTTTAGATACTTATTTATATTAAGCATTTATTTGCTTATAGATTTTAGTTTAGGCTCCTTATATTTTGGCACAGAGCCCTTCCAGGCTGGGGTGGGGACACATCCCTGGATGCAGAGAAGCCCAAAGGGGGAGCATGCACTTCCTTGGAACGGCAGGTCTGCACAGATCTGCAAGGAATGGAGGGCAGGGAGTGAGCAGAGCTGACAGTGAATTGTAGGTGGAGGTGACACAGGACCGCCTCGGAGGGGAGGGTGAAGGTGGGAAAAGCTGCCACTGAAGGAGCATGAGACAGGAGTGAGGCGAGAGCATGCAAGTGACTCAGGAGCATTGCATGGGCACATTTATGTTAAGATTACAGTCAGGAGGGTGTATAACACTTACGGTAATAAGAGCACATGCCAAGGAGGGGTGGGCAGGGAGATCAAGGAGCAAGCCTCCATTCTTCACCATGATTGATGAATTCATGAAGTGCCAGTGGTGTTGTCAACTCCTGCCAGACATGGCAGGATGGGCACTTTTCCACCTGAGCACAGGTCATTGGTCTCATGGCGCTCTGAGTTCTCTACTAGACATGGTACATGGTGTGTAATGATTTGTTTATGAGTCTGTCTTCCTGAGGGCAGGGATTGTGTGATAGTCAGCTTTATCGTTATGCAACCATTAACAATACAAGGCAGGTCTGTATTGCAGAAACGTAGTGCATCTTTGCTGGATGGGTGAATGAATGTCTTGAATCTTTTGTCGATTCTGGTGATTTCCGACTTCAGCACAGCACCTTTGTGATGTGAGCCCTGTGGTGTGAAGTGGTTCCTGCTTTGCTGCTCTTCCCCTTTGTGATGTGAGCGCTCTGGTGTGAGTTGGTTCCTGCTGGGTTCCCCATACCCTTTGTGATGTGGGCCCTGTGGTGTGAAGTGGTTCCTGCTTTGTTGCTCATCCCCTTTGTGATGTCGGCCTTGTGGTGTGAGGTGCTTCCTGCTTGGTTCCTCATACCCTTCGTGTTGTGGGCCCTCTGGTGTGTGGTGGTTCCTTCTGGATTCACATCCCGTTTGTTATGTTGGCCCTCTGGTTTAAGGTGGTTCCTGCTGTGTTCCCATCCCCTTTACGGTGTGGGCCCTCTGGTTTGAGTGTGTTCATGTTGGGCTCCTCACCTTTTTGTGTTGTGGGCCCTCTTCTGTGAGGTGCTTGCTGCTGGGTTCTTCATACACTTTGTGATGTGGGCCACCACCAGGCAAATCCCCGTATTACTTTTATAATAAAAAGATACGTAATCAAAGCAAATAACTAGGGACATCCCTTGTGGTCCAGTGGCTAAGACTCCACGCTCCCAATGCAGGGGGCCGGATTTGATCCGTGGTCAGGGAACTAGATCCCACATGCCGCAACTTAGAGTTCACATGCTGCAACTAAAGATCCTGTGTGCTCCAACTAAGACCCTGTGCAGCCAAATAAATAAATATATATATATATATATATATTTTTTTTTCAAAAGCAAATAACCAAAGAGCAAATAGTAATGGGGAGGGAGACGCACTGCTGCTCATCAGCTGTGCTTCTGGATGAGATGTTCCGGGCACAAGTTTTCCTCAGTGTGACAGAACTGACCCTAGGGACTGTCGCCTGGTGTTGTGAGGATTAAGTAAGCGTGGCAGCTGGGCCCCCGCTGGAAACACAGTTAACAAACAAAAAACCAGCCGCCATCATGGCCGTTGTCACTGTTGTCCCTTCATCTTCACCCTCTTACTTAGTGGAATTCCTGAGTGTGTGCCTTCAGCTGTCCTTCCCCCTTAAATCCTGTTGTCCTAATCAGACGTGATCAGCAAAGAACACCTTCCAACTTTCTATGGCTGCTCCCCTAGCTCCCAGGAAGTTGTGGGGTCATGTCTCACAGCTTCCTGGTGCCGTTTAGTCCCCACTTGTCAGCAGTTCTGGGTGAAGCTTGCATGAAGGGCACCCTCCCATCTGGTCCTCCTCCCCTCTCCCTAGGAGCCCAGGGCCCGGATGGGCCATGAACAGGGCTGAGACTCACCTGTCCATAGTTCCAGGGGCAGGGACAGATCCAGTTCTTGTTCCTTTGATAGGAAGCCGTAATCATTCATGACATACTCCTGCCTCTGGGGTTCACCGTCCAAGTAGACAGCGTCTCCTGGGAATCAAAGTGGGAGGACACAAAGCAGAAAAGCCATGCCACCCTTCCTGTTCCATTCCCACCCCCAGAAGGCCCAGGGCCATGGAAACTGAGCTCTGGGGAGAGAACCCGGTGACTCCAAGAAGGGCATGAGTGAGGCGTCTTGGGGAGGCCCATCCCCTACCCCCCATCAACACCAGCAACAGGCTCAATAGGAACATGGGGTAGAAGTAAAAGTTACCTTTGGTGGAATTTCTTGGTTTACAGAGTTCATTTACCTCCTAGCCCCATCTCAAGGTTGAGGAAACAGGCTCAGAGTGATAAGTAACTTGCCCAAACCACACATATGTAGAGTGAAATTTGAACACAGAGCCCATGTGAGTCCATGTTCCCTTCCCTTTCTGCTACACTCAACTAGTCCTGGTTGGAAATGAGAAAACTGGAACCTAGGGGTTGGCATTGACTTCAGCATTCCTTCTGTAGGAATTTATTCTAAGCAAAGTATTTAGAAAGTGCACAAAGATTTAGATACTTAAGCTGCTCATCTGAGTGCTGTTTATAACACTGAAAAGTTGGAAACAACCTAAAGGCCCTGTTCTTAGGGACTAGTTAAATGATCATCTCCATCACAGAATTCTGTACACTATTAATATATGGGTGCAAAATTGTATATTTAGACAGAAATCTACGTTTGATATATTAAGCTTGAATAGGTTACATAATGTGTAGGGCACAAATTGACTTTTGTTATAAACATATGTGTATGAACAGAGGATTTTGAACCCTATTCTGAAAGATGGTAGCAGTATTTTTTTTCTGTTTGCCTATTGGTGTTCTCTAGATTTTCTGGAATGAACATGTCTCTTTTATGATATAAAAAGAATTTTCTCTTTAAAGTTAAGAATGAACAAACAAAAGGCCATGGGGGCAGATGTCCTCATTGCAGTGTCCTGGAACTGTCTGGAAGCCCTGCCTGAGCCTCAGGTGATGGTACCCTCCCCCCTTCCTCAGAGGCAGCCTCAGACACAGTCTGAGGGGGGGCGTCGCTGGTGGAGAAGGACTCCTGGCTGACATGCATTTTATCAGGTTTTGGACCAGTGTGGTGAGAGCTGCAGGTTCATGGTTGAGAGCACGCACATCCCTCTCCATCGTGGGGAGCAGCAGTGGCCTGAGACAGGGTGTGTGGGGCTCCCCAGCCAATATCTTGGCCGTGGTGATGGGGGAGCCACTGATCCTGATTTCAGCCCCTACCAATCCCTAGCCCCTATAGGTTCTCCCTGGGACCTGGGTGGGGCACAAGACTGAAAAGAGAAGGCCGCACAGGCATCAGTCTCCTCCCCACAGCTCAGGGGGGCCCTCAGTACAAGTCTGAAACCCCTAGTCTTGGAGACCGGGAGATATGCGTGTGTGTGTGTGTGTGTGTAAGAGAGACACAGAGACTGGGAGAACAGAGAGACAGACAGCTGTCCTCCTTGATTCAGTGGCAGTGCCTCTTCACCGGGCTGATAGGTAAGAGTTCTGAGCCGTTCAGCGACAGGGCAGTGAGAGGTGGTGAGAGATGTTGAGGGTTCTGGGTTCTGGCACGACCCAGCAGGCCCCCTGGGGATAAGGTTGGGGGAGAGGGAGAGGGAGGAAGGGAAGCGGGGGCGTCCTTTTTTTTTTTTTACATCTTTATTGGAGTATAATTGCTTTACAATCGTGTGTTAGTTTCTGCTTTATAACAAAGTGAATCAGTTATACATATACATATGTTCCCATATCTCTTCCCCCTTGCGTCTCCCTCCCTCCCACCCTCCCTATCCCAGCCCTCCCGGCGGTCACAAAGCACCCAGCTGATCTCCCTGTGCTATGCAGCTGCTTCCCCTTAGCTATCTACCTTACATTTGTAGTGTATATATGTCCATGCCTCTCTCTCGCTTTGTCACAGCTTACCCTTCCCCCTCCCCATATCCTCAAGTCCATTCTCTAGTAGGTCTGTGTCTATATTCCTGTCTTACCCCTAGGTTCTTTATAACATTTTTTTTCTTAAATTCCATATATATGTGTTAGCATACGGTATTTGTCTTTCTCTTTCTGACTTACTTCACTCTGTATGACAGACTCTAGGTCTATCCACCTCATTACAAATAGCTCAATTTTGTTTCTTTTTATGGCTGAGTAATATTCCAT